GGGGGACAGTTCAACGGTAGCGGAAAGGGCCCATTTTTTGTGTTGGCGAAAGGCATTGGTATGAAACATACCGCCAGCAAGCAAGAGCTTTCCATAGCAAACATGCCATCCATAACGTGGCCCCCGGGGGCGGCTGCTGAGATAACGGACGCCAGGACGAGCAGCGTGTGAGGCGTGGATGTATGGCCCAACTGTGAGCGACGAGATGAAGGTTGCACCAAACTAGTTTTTCCTTCTTTTTTTTTTAACTATTCGTTTCTTATCTGAACGTATACTGCTCCGTGGCACAGAAGTTAAACACTGCGTGAACCTGTAGTGTGTTGCAAAAGCGGCCTCACCCACATCTGTGAAAATGGTGAGATAGTATCGGTTTAACTCCCCTATCAATACTACTAGTATTAGGTGTATTTAAGACGCAGGGCTTCCGAGTGTAATGTCCATCTCCAAAAGGACCGAGCCAAATAGGAAATGTAAAGTGCTTTTCCCAAGGACACAATCATGTCAGACCGAGCTGAGTCTCGAACTCCCGTACCCGCAGCCTCATGATTGCGGGTCCGGTAGTCTAACCACTTATCACTAGTCTACCGGCACCACATTCATATTTGTATCCAAACATTATTCTTAAAAGCATGATTATATATAGATCGAAATATAGTGGTCTGGACACACTGAACAAAAATTTATAAAAATAGGCAGTGGGTGTTTTGGTACCACTTGTATCCCCTCTAATGTCAGTATCTGATTCAAAAACATCAAATGTAGGCACGTGAAAATACAAAGCTAGGGCGATTTTAGTATGATCATAAACCATAAACAAATAATCTTCCCAGTAAGTAGATCTACGAACAATGTTCCCAACAAAACGGTCAGCCATCATCAAAATCCCGCTAAAGATATATCTAGAAATAATAATCCTTCATCCACCTTAATGCGCCTTCTTATCACGTCCTAGTCGCGAGATCCCTCCCAAAGTTTAATCGTGTGGGAACGCTTTGTGAACTCTGGAATGCCCCCTCAAGGGAAAATTCACCCCACCACACTTTGCCGTGTAAGCAACCCTTCTCCCGCTTGTTCCTTGTGTAGCCAAAGCTCCCGTGAAAATAAACTACATCTCGGTATAAAAGGTCTACGTCCTTTCCAAAGATCATTGGCGTCAACCCAAGGGGCGAAAATGGGATGCTAAGGAATGTAAACACGAGGAAAAAAATCGTTAAGAAAATAAATATGGACACTGCAGTTATCTTTGCTTCTATATTACACATGTGTACATGTCTGATTAATATAGTGCGCACTCTCAAGTCCTTGATAAGTTCCATACTCTCGACCAGGCCTCTTTCTGGAAGACTTGCCACGCACGCGCGTGCGTGACCTCATCTTGCGCTCTTCAAGGATTTTGATCTAACACAGTTGCTTGCAATGAGTTGGCGTTGGCGTGTCTTCGAAGTTCACGCAATGGGTGCGTGCGTATGTGTATTTGTGTGCACGTGAGTGTGTGTAAGAGACAGTATATGCCTCTACTCCATGAGTGTGAATGAGTACAAGTGTAGACGCGCGTCCGCACGTTTAAAAGCGTGTCCAAGCTTGTGTCAAACTAACGGACAAGACTAAGTAATACAACGACCTGCTCGTTTCATGCAATCAGCTTTTACACGTAGAAGACACGATCTAATTATACACACTAAACACGCAAGTTCTACTCATTTTATGGGACGAAAAAATCCTTATTTCCCCCCTCCAATCTGGACAATACAATTCCCGTTTATCTCAATGTAAATCAATCTAAAAGACCTTCATTTGGTTGATATTTTGTTATCTGATTCTGATGTACCTAATACTTATATATATCAGACACAAAAGAAAGACAAGTGCTTACTTCCTCTCATCGGCTGTGCCAGAAAGAGACAGTGGCTTTCTTCTTGAACTCAACCTCAAGTACACCCTTACTTTCTTACAGACTTCTTGTATAACGACTCACTTGAGCCAGCTCCAACGTTTGGGCTAGTTTCTCAGCATGAGAATCACGACACTACAAAAGAAGGCACTTACGATCCACTTGGGCCATATAATGAGGGGCGTGTAAAGTACATTGTCTATCAGCACATTTTCCCCATCAGCTTTGTTTTCAGCGGTTCTATACTAAGTCCTGGACAACAATTCCTCAACATTAATGTTAAGGTCACTTAGTGCATACCTGACTCTGTGTACCAAAATAATAAATGTTTCAAACTTTTACAGAATATCAATTCTACCCCCAAAAAATAACCAACTTTAAGGTTCAAGATTTCTACAATTTTTCCAGGAAATGAGAATCATCAATTATTTTTTTTATATTTAAAGTCTGACATCGTCACATTGATCTATGAAATTGAACCAACATAATCTTTTAAAGGCTATTGGTTCTATTAAAGGGTATTAAACTAATTGACAAAGATATGTCTGCGGTTATCTCATTGCTTGATAGAGTTCAAAAGAGTCTACCTACAACTTGCAATTTCAGCATTCCTTTAGGCTCCATTTCTGGGAATGAGATACCTCACCATGGGACATAATTAATAGCATTTCCACTAATGATGCCATAGGTTATCCAATTAGTCAGAACTGATAAAACCGTCTCCAAAAGACAGGATATTACACATCTGCAAAAGGCATTGTGAGTCAGAGCTGAGAACTTGAATGAATCATGATAGCTTTTTTTCTCTCCAATGCTACTCTTTTGACTTCAAGCCTTTTCTTTTATTCACATTCAGTTTAGTAAGAAGAAAAGTATCCACACTATCAAATTCACATAGTGCTGGTTAAAAGGCTGATAGTGAGAGAAACTAGCAGACTTGAGGGATATGAGGCACGGAAAGGAACACAAAAAAATAACATACTATCTTTCTTAGTTAACAGAATTTTCTCTCATAAAAAGTAATACCACGACTACAGTACAAGATTAGTGAGTACTTTTGATAAAGTACTACTACATTAATTGCAAAAGTAACATAGCATACATAGATCAGACTTATTTACTGGCCAATTTACAAATTAATAAAAGATGTTTCGGAACAAAGAGACTGTACTTACCATGAACTAATGCCAGGATGAGAAGATAAGAAAATAATAAATCCATGTTGATAATCCTTGCAACTTTTGGTCCAACTATCCAAGTAAAGACGAAGGTGGTGATAATATCCAAGCAGCAAAGAATAGCACAGGTAGAGACCAAAACACTACAACAGCCAACAATAAATATCACAGAATGTTTTGCAGATCCTAGTTTCTTGAGGAAACCAAGTGACCAGTCTTCCAAGTTGATTCAGCGTCTTGCTCAAGCTATTGGCAACTGTTTTGCCTCCCTATTCCCTTGGTCTCACTTCACTTTTCCCCGCATCTTGTGCCAAGTCATCAGACGCACTATCCTGCTGGATAAACACAGACAAGAAATAAATGGACAACCAAATCACATCAAAAGGATGATTATATTTATAATGCATGCATCTCATTTTATTGAAGTGACAAAGACACTTGTCCATTTTCAAGTCCAAGCAATATACTGTTAAAATATTTGAATATACAGCCAAACCTCATTGTACCATCCCTCATTATACTGCCAGAATTTGCCAATGAACGAAAAGGAACGCCTATAGAAACATAGCATTTGTATGTGCCATTGCACCACCATCCATCATCTGTTTGAGTTATACAGTCCTTATTAAACTAATTTAATTTAAATTTGCGCCGCTGTACGATTAGCGAATTAGTCGCCAGAGGTAAGCCTACACACTACACACAGCGCATGACACCCACACAGTGGCTGTTTGATAATCTCTTTCCCTATACATGTCTCTGCAAGCTCTGCCTCTTTCTAGAACTTGTCGATCTTCTCCTGATTTGCATTGATTTTGAAAATGTTATATTTTAAGGCTTTGGTCATAGTTAATTCTTTTTTAACTGCTTAGTATCTGGTCCAAGCTTCTTTCTAGTGAAGTTCAGCTGGAGCTAAGCATCTAATTAGTTGCTACTTATGTTTTACCGGCGCATGGCAATTGCGCAAGACAGTCTAAAAGGGCAAGACTGGCCACAGTTTGTCTTTATGCTGGGAGCCCGTTGCGTAATCATTGCGGATGGGACCGGGTCAGGTCGGGTCGATAGCCCAACTCATCACCTGAAAACAAAAGTGTTTGTTTTTGAGGTGACAAATTGGGCGATCGGTTTGGGCCACGTAGTCGCTTCCCCTCAATCTGGGTTGCAACCTGACCCCACCCGACCCGATCATGCCAATGGGCACCAGGTAGAAGTCTCTACCAGTTTACCACTATCAGTGGTATCCCATTATACCGCCAACTCCATGCTCGTCCCAAGGTCTGTGGAATAACGAGGTTTGACTATAATGTGAACAGAGTGTCTGAACAAAATACTGCCCCTACTACTCAAATATAGGCAATGTCAGAACAGAGTCATACCAATCATGAAAAAGTCATTTGGCAACTACAGAGCTCCAGTAATTCAAAAGGTCATTTCTGGATTTATATTTGTTCAATGTGAAGGTAGTGTGGCATAAAAACAAGAGCTACAGCAACATAGTCCTAATCCCCCATAGAGAACAAAAAAAACATAGGAAAAAAAGGAGGGGACAGAAGATAATTAAATAACAGTGGGGAGAGTTAAGTTGCTCTTAATAATTATTAGAAGACGTCGACACACAAATCCAAAGAGTACAAGTACTATTCATCAATGATAAGACAAACCTGGAAAAAACTGTTCTCTATTAATTTGAAAAATTTTGTGACTGATAGAATGATGAAACATATGGCTGTACACATCATTATATGGCATAAAAAGTCATTTTTTTAAAACTAAGAAGGGATTTTTTAAAAGAAACAGTGTTCTGTAACTCATAAAAACCACATGGATCCAAAATATCACACAGCGTTTATTTTTTCTGTTTAAATTATGAACGAGAAAACAGTCTGTTTGTAAAATAGTGATTATTTCAAAGTCACTAAGAATGACTCCTATTACATTCTCACTCCACAATTACATCCCATTTGACAAAGCATTCTAAATTTCTCAAATTCTCATTTTTTAACTGCCATAGTAGTAAGTAGCATGAAATCTCCGTGCACTTGCATTTGTAGGTAATTTGCTCTGTAGCCAAAGGCAGACACTTTCAAACCAATCCTTCCTTCAAGCTCTTCTCATTCTCCTCCCAACTTGTCTATTGTCATTAAAGAGAACCAGTTTATCCAAACGGCAATTCATTTGTTCTGTTTGTAAACTCAACGTTTTAAAGAAGTCATGATTTATAAGCCTTCCGTATCATCCCAAGACAAACTCCCCCCTCCCCT